TGTCAGTTTCCCCAAAAGGGTTATGTTAACAGTTTTTTCCTTCTTTTGTTCATCAGTGATTGCAGCCATGAAATTAAAAGATGCTTTCTCCATGGAAGGAAAGTTATGACCAATCTAGACAGCATATTGAAAAGCAGAGACATTTCTTTGTCAACAAAGGTCCATCTAGTCAAGGCTATGGTTTTTCCAGTAGTCTTGTGTGGATGTGAGAGTTGGACTATAAACAAAGCTGAGTGCCGAAGAATTGATGCTTTTGAACTGTGGTGTTGGAGATGACTCTTCAGAGTTCCTTGGACTGCAAGAAGGTCCAACCAGTCCATCCTAAAGGAAATCAATTCTGAATATTCACTGGAAGTACTGATGCTGAAGCTGAAACTCCAATACTCTGGCCACCTGATGCGAAGAGATGACTCATTTGAAAAGACCCTGATACTGGGAAAGATTGAGGGCAGGAGGAGAAGGGGACGACAGAGGATGAGATAGTTGGATGGCATCACCGACTCCATGGACATGGGTTTGGGTGAACTCCGGGTGTTGGTGATGGACAGGGAGGCCTGGCGTGCTGCGGTTCATGGGGTCACAAACAGTCGGACACAACTGAGCGACTGAACTGGATATCACTGTGCACTGGATTCAAGTGGAGACATTGGAGATGACTTCCAATTCAGCTATAATTACCCACAGATTTATAATTTCTAGCACTCTTCTGACGATATCATCATCCTTGTACCTGAAGGACTTTCTTTAAAATTTATTGTAATGCTTGTGTGTTCATAATGAATTCTTTCAGCCTTTGCTGCAATCTAGAAACCTCTCAAGAAAGTATCCACAGGCAACTGCAGAGTTAACCCTATTTCCCTCTCAGGAATCACTGTCCAGTGTTGCCAAATTATTCAATGTCTGAAAATGCTTGTGTTTTTTTTTTTTAATGTATTTACATTATTTTTGGCTGGGCTGGGTCTTCGTTGCTGCATGGGCTTTTTTCCATTTGCAGTGAGCAGGGGCTACTCTTTGTTGTGATGCATGGGCCTCTCACTGCAGTAGCTTCTTGTTGTGGAGCTTCTAGGTACACAGGCTTCATTAGTTGCAGCACGGGCTCAGTCGTTGTGGCACACAAGCTTAGTTGCTCTGAACACGTGGGATCCTCACGGACCAGGGATAGAACCTGTGTCCCTTCCACTGGCAGGCAGATCCTCAACCACGGACTACAAGGGAAGTCCCCAAAATGCTTGCTTTATGTATTTCTTTTTCTGTTGTTTACATTGGGAGATCAGATCTGGTCCTCATTACTCTGTCATGGCAGAAGTCTTACTCTTTGTAGATGAAAAACTTAAATTTCATTGAAACCTATGTCATGGAATATGTTCTTTTCATCTTTGCATTTAGTGGTTTCTATGCTTTATCAAAGATGCTATTGATGAAATAAAATGCATAATTTATGGCAAGAAGAGAAAAATTTAAACAAAATTTTTCTTTGCCTGTTTGGGCCTCCTTCTTCCACTTTAGTGTGTATTGTTCACCTGCAATAAGCAGACCTCCTTAGGAAATAATATTCCTTTTTAATCTCATCAAGGGTCACAACTTCTTAGGAGATAATTTTCCTTCTTAATCTTGTAAGGGGTTGTGATATCCATGACCCACCATTTGTTTTGTATGCTTAGATCTGGATTGTATAAACTGTCAATAATATGTCATTTAATGTACAGTCGTTTATCTCAAAAACTTATATAACTGTGCTTTGACCTCTAACAAGCAGAACAGTCCTCAGAGCTTTCTGAGAAGCTGTACCCAGTGTTTAATCCTCCGATTTAGCTCAAAAATTTTTTTCCACTTTTTCTTAGATCAACTGATTAATACTTTCATTGACATTATGAAAATAAGTACAGCTGTATGTTAAAAAAGAAATTTCTGTTGTGTCAATGAGAGACAATAGGTAATACATCCAAAGGAAATGATAGGACATATACATGACTTTAAAAAATTCACAGCCCTCAAGCCTCTCACTCATAATTGAGGGTATAAAAGGATTTGGAGCTGAAGAAGAGGGAGGAAACTATTTCTTTAAAGAGGCCTGAAACTGTGTTGCAGATTTCACTCTCTGCAAGGAAGAAATGAACTTTCATCTCAGGGAAAAATATATTAATGAGATAGAGGATTTAATTTGTGTCCCCTGCAATTGGAGTGCCTAGTGGTCTAGTGGTTTGTCTGCTCACATCTGTGCAATCTAGTGTGATGTCCTCTGACTAGCTGTCCCAGCGTCAGAGCAATATAAATCTTGAGTGGCATATGACTCACACTCCAGAGAATGGATAATTGTTTCCCTTCAAGAACAAGGAGAAGAACTGGCTTCACTCTTGGTTCAGAGGGTAAAGAATCTGTCCGCAATACAAAAGACCTGGGTTTGATCCCTGGGTGGGGAAAATCCTCTGGAGAAGGGAATGGCTAGCCACTCTAGTATTCTTGCCTAGAGAATTCCATGGACAGAGGGACTGGCCCATGATAGCACAGAGAATCAGAGACCACTGAGTGATTAACACTTTGACTTTTCCAATTATTTTAGGCCTCATCCAAAAAACTCCAATCCAAAACCCAAAACCCAAATCCAAAACCTAGAGGGTAAAATAGACCTCTCTCTCTCTCTCTCTCTCCCTCCCCACCCCATACACACACACACACACACACACACACACACACACACAAAACTAAAAGTATTTGGTCTGAAAGAGAAATAAATGATCAGGTGGCAATTATATGCATTGTCCTTTTTAAGGAAATTTGTCTTTGAAGAGATATGCCTAGCACCGACAAGAAATAAACTCATTCTCAAACATCTGTTGAGCCCAAAAAAGAACCAGATCAGATTGACAGTACCAATCAAAAGAGAATCCACCTACTTCCACCCACCCTGGAGGACTAGAAACAGCATTTGCTAAATGAGGATGAAGTAGAAATGCTAATTAGGAGAAGCCTCAACTTTATAGCAAGACTGAATATTTGACTACTATGGAGAACAGAAATTTTTGGTTGCTAAATTATGACACTTAGTGACTGGTAAACCTTATATGTTAACATTATCTAAGAGACCAGAGAAGTATTTTAGTGTGCCCAAGTTTTCACCAGAAGCAGGGGAAGAATTGACTCCACAGTTAGATTTAAAGGGCAGTCTAGACAAGAGGAGTCTAAATTAAGGTGGAATGACAATTCCATCCCACAGATTGTTCATGTTCAACACGATTATACAAGAACCTATGGAAACTAGACAAAAACACAAGTGAAATGTGCACATTAGATATATGAAGTTAAATCATAATTCTGCTGTGTAGAAACATCCCAAAATGATTAAGAATGGTGTTTATTTATAAGTTTATACAAACATGTAGAACAACTACAGTTTTACCCAAGAGGATAGTTAAAATAAAAATAGAAGGTTAAAAAAAGCCCATTATGAGGCTTTTTTAAAGCTCTTCATTGAGTCCTTTCAAGACGTTTCTCAATTTTACCACCTCTTTTCCTTTCAGTGTAAACATTTTGATTTCAGCAATATTTCATAATCTATTCAATGTATAAAATTACAATGCAATGCCTGATTAATCTGATTTTCAGAAATTTTCATGTTCATTATAGACAAGAAAGTGCACTGCAAGGAGATCAGGAATTATCACATTATGTATTACAGCCATTTATTTGTGGAAATGGAGCATGAAATAAACTATTTAGTTCATTAGCTCAAGTAGGAGAGTATTGTCCAAGTATGTTGTCCATTAATCATTGATAACCAGTGTTTAGTGTGCAGACATGCACAACCACAAGCATGGCTGAATAATGTCAAATTCTCTTCATAAAAATCATGGCATATGCAACTTTTATGTGTGATTTACCACAGTGCCCTTGGCAGAGCTCATGGGGAAATCTTGGAGTGGAGAGCAATTAAATAGTACACATTTACATGTTTCTAGAAAACAAATTTTGAATATTCAAATATCCTACTCTCAATCCCCCTTTTTTATGTTATCTCAAATGAAATTTGCCAAAACAGCTCTGCAACCAGATAAATCTGTGATTCCCTTCATACACCAATGTCTGCTCCCTGTTCTTGATGGTCTTTATTGTTTGGTCACTAAGTCATGTCTAACTTTTTGTGACCCTGTGGACTATAGCCTGCCAGGCTCCTCTGTTCATGGGATTTCCAGGCAATAATACTGGAGTGGGTTGCCATTTCCTCCTCCAGGGATCTTTCTAACCCAGAGACTGAACCCACATCTCCTGCATTGGTGAGCAGATTCTTTACCACTGAGCCATCAGGGAAGCCTGTTCTTGATAACAGCTTATAACAGATTATTGATTTCCTGTCAAGAAATATCTCCTGATAAGCACTGCTAAATACCCTCAGTCATAGTAAATGAGAGGAAATCCAAAGGAAATTTTATATAGGGTGTATTCAAATTATCACTTTCTTCAGTATTGAAACATTAAATGTAGGCTGCTTGTACTTTAAAGGTGGAGCAGTGGGTGAAGGAGGTTGGAGACAAAATGGCAAAGTAGAAGGACTTGAGCTCACCTTCTCTCAGGAAAACACCAAAATCACAACTAATGGCTGAATAACCACAGACAAAAAGAACTGGAACCTACCCAGAAAAGATATTCTACATCCAAAAACAAAAAAGCCACAATGAGAAGGTAGGACAGGTGCATTCAGAATATAATTAAATCCCTTACCCACCAAGTGGGTAATCCATATATTGGAAAATAATTATAGATCAGAGCTTCTCCCACAGAAAGGAGAGTTCTGAGCCCCACTTCAGGCTCCACAGCCTGAGAGCCCAGCAGCAAAAGGAGGAGCGCCAGAGCATCTGGCTTTAAAGACCAGTCGGGCTTGATCACAGGTACCACACGAGACTAGGGGAAAGAGAAACTCTACACCTGAAGGGCACATACAAGGTCTTATGTGCACGGGAACCCAGGGAAAACAGTGACTTCACTGGATCCTGGGCCAGACCTACCTGCTGGTCTTGGAAGATCTCCTGGGGAAACAGGGAAGTGGCTGTGGCTCACTGTGGGGATAAGGACACTAGTGGACAGGTACTGGGGAGCTCATTGACATGAGCACTCCTGGAGGCTGCCATTGTGACACCAAGACTTGGCCCCACCCAACAGCCTATAAGCTCCAGTTCTGGGACACCTCAGGTCAAACAGCCAAGAGGGTGAGAACACAAACCCATCCACCAACAGACAGGATGCCTAAACCCTTCCTGAGCTCCCAGCCAGCTCTAAACAAACCTTTTGACATGACTTGGCCCACCAGAGGGACAAGACCCATTTCCACTCACTAGTGGGCAGGCACCAGTCCCTCCTATCAGGAGGGAGCCTGCAGAAGCATCTTAGAGCAGCCTTACTCACCAGGTGGCAGACACTCAAAGCAAAAGGAACTACAATCCTGTGGCCTGTGCAACAGAGACCGCAAACACAAAGTTAGACAAAAGGAGAGGACAGAGGAATATATTCCAGACGGAGGAACAAGAGAAAACCACAGAAGAACAACTAAATGAGTCAGGCAATATACTGGAAAAATAATTGAGTAATGATAGAAAAGACAACCCAAGATTTCAGAAAAAGAATGGAGGCACAGACTGGGAAGATACAAGGACTATTTAACTAAGAGCTAGAAGATATAAAAAAGCAAACAACATTGAACAATACAATAGCTGAAATGAAGAATATATTAGAAGGAATCAATAGCAGAATAAATGAGGCAGAAGACTGGATAAGCGAGCTGGAAGACTGAACAGTGGAGATCACTACCACCAAGTAGAATAAATAAAAAATAAATAAAGGTGGAGCAGTAAATAATGTTTTCTTCCCTGAGGTTACCAATAAGACAGCCTATAACAGCATCTCTGTCATTTTCCAAATATGTTTACCAACTTCAATAGCAAAATCTTTAAATCTGGTTTTTTTTAAAGTTAGCAGCATTATTCAAAATATAGATAATATGGTAATGCCAGATGTATCTATGACACCAGAATGAATCAAATAATATTATCACACAAAGAAGCAGGTAGAGCAATGAAAATAAACACTTTTACTTTCAGCAACATAGATTAATCTCACAAACATATTAAGCAAAAGAAGTACACCCAAAAGAATACTTACTATATAGATAGATATATAAAGTACGAAAACACAGCAAAGCTAAAATATGCTGTCAGAGGTCAGCATGTGGTTAACTTTGGTATAGGCGACGGTGATGGGGGATTAACAGGAGAGAGGTTTCTGAAGCTCTGGTAATAGTCTGCTTCTTGAACTGGGTGCTGGCTGAGTGGATGTGTAGAACTTGTGAAAATTCAGTGACCTATGTACTAGTGTTTTCTATATGTTTATGTATATACTTCAATAAAATGTCAAAAATAATCCTCCTAGGAAAGAGAATATAATATATAAGTGCCTTCCTGTTACTAGCCAGTGAATCTAAGTGAAGATGGACTAGGACGCAGGTGCCTCACAGCACAGGGCAACAACGAATACAGAAAGTGGACACACAGACGGAGCGCAACAGCAACAGGCAGACGTGCTAGATGAAGGCAGCACTCAAACGCAGAAACAGGTAAGAGAATAGGAAAACAGCTGTAAGGGGAAGGAAATCGTTATGACTAAAGAAACGAGGCAATGCTCTCCACTTATTATTAAAAGTTACTGCCTGATGGTTAAAGAATGCTTGCCACTGAGGAATACTGGCATCTCTGGGAGGCACACTTCCCAGATTTCCTATAACAAAAGCCAGAGCCGTGAGGAGTATGCTATCAAAACAAGGCAAATCAGAGAGGAATGTCATCAAAATGGCAAAATGGGAGTTTTCTAGCTTGTTTTACCACAAGAAATACTGATTTTGACGATTACTCATGGATGAGAGACCTTTGAGAAGGTCTAATAGTCGAGTGGAGAAATACCAGCACACCATTTAGAGCAAAAACAGTCTGAGATTGGACACATTGGAGAAGTCAGTAAACACTGGAGCAGGAGACTCCTTCTTCAAGTACAAAGATAGCACTATAAGATTTCAAGGAGCATAAAAAGTCAGAGAAACATGACGCCATCAAAGGAACATCATAATTTTCTAGGAACCAACCCCAAATAAATGGAGACCTATGATTTACCAGATTAAGAATTCAAAATAATGATTTTAAGTAAGCTCAGTGAGCTACAAGAAAATACAGAAAACAAATTAACTAAATCAGGAAACCAATACATGAACAAAATAAATTTAACAGAGATTAAAAATCATTTTAAAAAGAAGCAAACTGAAATACTAGAGCTGAATAATAGTGAAATTTAAAATACAATAGAGAGTAACAACAGAAGATTTTATCTAAGCAGAAAAAGGAGTCTGTGAAGTAGAAGACAAATCATTTGAAATGATCCGGTCAGGTGAGAATACATTTAAAAGAATTTTTTAAAATAAGTAGAATAGCTCTGTGAGCCATAGGATATCATTAGTAGAAACAACATATGAATTATTGAAGTCCCAGTTCATGAAGATCATAAGTTAACAAACAAACTCAATGTAGAGAATCTCTGCAAGACACATTATAATAAAATTGTCTAAAATCAAAGACAAGAAAATTTTAAAAGCAATAAGAGAAAAAAAAAATCCTCCCAATGTTCATCGCAGCACTGTTTATAATAGCCAGGACATGGAAGCAACCCAGATGCCCATCAGCAGACGAATGGATGAGGAAGCTGTGGTACATATACACCATGGAATATTACTCAGCCATTAAAAAGAATTCATTTGAATCAGTTCTAATGAGATGGATGAAACTGGAGCC